GGTTTTTTCTTCATTAATACTAATTTGGATGCATAAATTTTCAGTCTCTTTAATTAAATTTTGTAAAAAAGTAGAGGTCTAAGATTCTCTTATTTTCTTTTTAGAGTAGGCAAATCAAATGAAAATTGAATAATATTTATAACAGTCAGAAAATATATCACAGACAGAGAGTGAATGTGGAAAAAATTAGATTAAGATACCTATTAATTTCCTCAGCAAATTGAAAGATCATGAATTTAATAAAGTAAATTACTCGAGAAAAGATTACAAATAAATAAATGAAGATCTGATCACGAAAATACCCTAAAATAATAAGATCATAGAATTATTAAAATTTTTAGTTCGTCTTACTGCCTTAGATGAGGGATAAATATAGTGCGGATCGAACTCTCTTCACTTATTAGTTTAAATGAAGGTTGATCTGAAGGAACAATCTTTTGAAAATATTAGAATTATAGATACTTCACTGCTTGGAGCAAATGAAGTGAGATGTGACTTAAGTGGATCTGAATTTGAGAATGTGAATATTAGTGGGAATGAATTTAAATTAAACTAAATTATTTAATTGTAAGTGGAAAAATATAAGAATAAATGAGGTGATAAATTAAAAGGTCATACTAGTTATGTCCATTCAGTTTTTTTTTCTCCATCTGGGAAATCACTAGCCTCTGGCAGTGATGATAATTCCATTCGTATGTGGGATGTTAAAACAGGATAAAATAAAGACAGTATTAACAGTAGGAAAATAGGTTAAATCAGCCCGTTTATCCCCTAAATAAACAATATTGGCTTCTTGCAGTGGTAAAGTCGTGTATTTATGTAATCTTTAAATAGGGAAATAAATTTCAAAATTAATTAGTCATAAAAAGAAAGCTAATTCAATCTGTTTCTCTCCTGATGGCACTACATTAGCATCTAGTAGTTAAGATAAATCTATTAGTTTATGGGATGTTAAGACAGGATAAAAAAAGCCAAATTAGGTGGTCATTCAAACACAATTTATACAGTCTGTTACTCTCCTGATTAGCATCTGGTAGCAGACATTAGTCTATCCATTTATGGAATTTAATATCTGGATATCAAATCTTATCTTCTGATATCAACATTTTCCAATATTTTCAAAAATTGTTCTTCCATAAAGTGGTATTTATTTATCACTATTTTTTAGCACCTCTAATATTACAATTCTACCTAAATTAGAAGCCTATGGAGCTTAAATTTTGAAAAGAGAATTTTTCAATTATTAAGGAGTAGATCTAAGATCATTATTCAAATCTAAAGAGTAGCATTTTAGAAAGTTAAATCTCCTTACAAAAATAATAATATTGATTATGATTAAGGATATATATGATCCAACGTCACTTCAATTTTACTTTTTTTAACTATTTATCATAGCTAACTTAAACTTATATGAGAAACGTATATATTTTTCTATTATAATTTGATCGTCAAGCCTTTTAAAACTTAATCCAGCAATTATCAATTATGATCTTGATTTAACAAGCTGTATTTTATTCTATTAGCTCTTAATGTTCAATTGTTTATATGTAAAGATAACTAGGATAAAAGAGATCAAATTCAAAATTTGTTTAAATTAAGTAAGTTTTAGAGCAAATAAAATTAATTGAATAGGATTTGGATGAGAATGAAGAATTAATTTCTTCGTTATTTTGACTTTTCTATCACTAAATGAAAGAAGAATATCGTTGAAACTTACTGTAATATCTTGTGCCTTTTAATAAATAAGCAATTATTATCAAATTAGTGTAATTTAAGTTTATGATGTATAACTTAAATATTAAATATGTTATGTATTTATAATTTAGAGTGTAGAGAAGAAAAAATGTCCCATTACACTTGGTATTTTCTAGTTTTTTTTTTGAGTTGCTGTTACCATAATCTAAGATAAAAACAAATATTAAGATATGTTAAATGAAAAAAGAATTATTCTCTTTTGTTAATTCACAATCATTTAATACACCCATCCTTTTCCCATTATGTAATTTTTTTATGTTCAACTTTCCTGTCTTTCTTCCTATATATACATATTATTTAGTAAAGTATAGGTAAATCATTATAGTTGTTTATTTTTGTTATCCCTTTCTACAAAACCCATCCTTAAACCTCATTTGTCCAAAAGTTATTAAAATGATATGCTTTGTTAAATTTGAAAATAATTATACATTAAAATTCAATAGCAGTATGTATATAAATAGAACTATTACTAAAAATGAGGAGAAATAAATTGTAATTAAAAAGATATAATTTTGGGTTGAAGGATTTAGTTAATGTTGATATTTCAACTACTTGATCAACAATAATATATTTTCTTTTAAATTAAAAAGTTGATTTATTTTTGATGATATTTAGTTTAATAAGGAAAGTTACATAAAATGTTATAAACAACGAAGAAGGAGTCTAAATAAGTGAAGAATTTTCTTTATTTGAGCAAGGTTTATATATGAGATACAGAGAGTTTTAGAGAATACTAATTTTAATATTTTGTCAGAGTAGATGTTAGATATCTATACAAAATTGTTTCAGTAAAGATTTTGGAATTACTTTCAACTTCTTGTTTAAAATTAAGTTAACCAATTGTAAAATTTGCTAGTTAGACCTTAAATTAATGAAAGGTTTTACCCTTAGATTATATTCTTCAAAGAAAGTTAAATTAATTATTGTATTTATATAAAGAGATTGATATAAACCTACTAATAGACTAGAGCAGTTCCTATTATATATAACTTTGATACTCGGCTGCCATTAATAGAAAATACAGGATGTAGCCAATTTATAATTCTCAAAATTAATATGATTATACAATAAAAATTTATCATATAATCATCTTTTTATTCATTATAAGAAAATAATATATAACAGCTTGATTGTAATAGATGAAAATGATATAATGATTGTAATTATAAATCAAATGAAAAGCATTTTAGAAATTTTTGGTCTTCGTTGATTGATCTTTAGGCAAATTTTGACCTTAGCAATTACAAGCTAAGTATATCTTGTCAATTATTGGTACATATCAATGGCTAAGGTTGTTAGAAGTATGAATGTGAAACCACCTATATTTATCCAACCTAAACGTTCAGCTGATTCTTTGTCTTGATTTTATTTCAGAATTTCGTATAAAGAAAAGATTAAAACATTCAGAGCAATCAATAATTCAGTTATTATTATTTTGATATTTTCAAAATTGTTCTTAAAAGGTTTAAAGATACAGAAATAACAAGAGAATACTCCAGATAGTAAAGCAGTTATTAAGCTTTAAGCCCCCATAAGACCTTACATCGCGACTAAATTTATAATGAATAAGGTTTTTTTTATCAACATAATCGTAAAATATTATTTAACTCCTTAATTTTTTTAGTTCTTAATCCCCTCCACCAATACAGATAAATTCTTAGCAACTGCATTCTTTTAGTTAAGATAAAAAAAAAAGATGCTTAATAGGAAAATATTGAATAATAATGTAAAAAGAGCTACAATGGAAATAGTTGTATTTAAAGTGGATTCTATATTTAAATTTACTAATTGCAAAAGAGATGCATATGTCGATTCATAAAAATTAGATGTAAAAATTCTGATTAATCCAGAATAAATAAAATACTAATAATATTGTCTTGCAATACTCTACAAGAAAAAAAACAATTTAACAATTTGGTAAAAATAAGCCTTTTGATAAATTGCTGGCCAATTTTAATACTTGATTTAAAATAGAAATCTTAAAAACAAATAAGAAACTATAAAATATGTAAATCCCATTATTAACATCATTAAAAGTGTTTAGAAGTTTTACAAAAAGTAACAATTAATTTGATACTATTCAAATTTCCATTTAGCTTAAATGACTGGAATTTCAAAATTAAATATACCTCTTAAAGACTGATCAATTTACAATTTATCAACAATAGGGGTAAAAGAGCCAATAGTAAAGATTTCAAAATAGCTTTCCAAGTTTTATGGGAATTCAATATTGTGAAATTTTATATATGATAATTATTACGAAGCGATATCAAGAAGATTCCATAAAATCTCTAAATTTCCACATAAGAAGGAAATACCACTTATAACTACAATGAAATACAGCACAATCCTACTCAGCATGGAAGTCTTAGATATAAGGGATAATTAATCATCTGAAATCTTGTAGGGAGACCTAAATTCTAATTTTGCTTCCTTTGAGGACAAGGTATTACCTTAGCTATTTACTATATTGTCACTGTTAACTTTAACTTTCAAAGCAGGATTTTTAACATTAGTTTTAAAATTAATTAATATTTTATAGGCTACATCTGCCAACTCAGTTGTGATAGAAATCATTGCATTTATTTCATAATCGTATTCATCCTATTTTGCATTTATTATCTCAATAACAATCAACTGCAGAAATTGTTCTTCACTAATTCCTTTTTCATTTAAACAAACAGGTTCAGAAAATGACAATTTGAACTCCTGAGAACTTGTATCAGTTTTAGATAGTTTTGTCAGTATCATTTTAGGTAGAATTGCATAGATGCAAACACTGATACTATTTTCTGTTGAGCATTTCCAATCCTTTTCAACCTTACAAATCTCGCTGCATCCATCATTATTTTCCAAGTTTCCATCGTCACATTATTCTAATTATTATGCCAAATACCCATCTCCACAAGTATTATGACATTGATACCCATCTTCAACAAATCCTACTTAGCATTAAATGCATTAACCTTGAAAACATTCCACACACATCTTGTCACATTAATAAGAACACAAATAACAACCATCAAATTATAAATCATTTCCATCATCGCATTATTCATTCCCGACTGCATAACCATCACCGCATTTTGTAGTACAAACCCCTTCACTCAATTACCATCCATTCTTATCACATTCTTAACACGACTTGCCGTTACATTTATTGCATCCTAATGGGCATTGAACTTGACATTTATAACAACCATCATATGGTAAGTAATTTCCATCATCACAATATTCATCCATGCCTGTAACAATGCCATCACCACAGAAATTAACACATTGACTGGAGAAGCATTTACTTATATTGCTATCCCAAATACACTCAAAATTCTCAAAATCTGTATAGCAGGCTTCTTTAATTTGATAATCCTAACAACTCTGCCTATTAGTGCACCCTCCATCTTATTTAACTGTACAATTTGGCATATATGAATTGCATTCCTCAAATTTAGTAAGTGTAACTTATGCAGTCTAGCAGCTTTTAGTATAACACTTTTCATCAATCCAAACGCAACGATTTAAATTACTATCAAATGTGCAGCCATCAGCTAGAGTTACATTTTCGCATTCCTTTCTTTTAACACATCGAATTCCATTTGTAATACACCTTTTATCTTAAAATATAGCTGTACAAGCTGAATCTATAGCATAAAAGTAATCAAGGCATCCTTTCATATGGCAACCTTCTAACTGACAAGATGAAAGAAAAATGCTACATTCAAAATGAGATGAGGCATCAGAAGGCCCATTCGTGCATATCCTTTCTTAACAGCTCTTTTTCTCTTCATTCCAGAAACATCCTACACCGCTTAAGTTTATTTATCCGTCACTGATACATTGTTGATAATTATAATTCAAACAAACAAGTTAACCAGTTTCGCATCCATCTAGGCTGCTGTTTACAGTGCACGAATCACCAAAATATAAACGGCAACCGTGTGCTGTATATAAGTTGAATTAGGCTGATGAGCATTCCTTAATAATACAAGCATTTGAACTAATAACCCATTCACATTCAATGTTATTTTAATCAAAAAAGCATTATTCTTTTATTTAATAACTATTGCAACTATTCAATAATTAGCATCCATTCAATGTAGCGTTTACCGTACACTATTTTAATTTTTAGTTACATTATTCATGACTCTTAAAATTTGTGTCCAAATTTGCGCATGTTAAAATTAAGCAGGTTTGTGTTGATATTGAATAGTAGCAAGAGTTACCATTACTATCCAAATAGCATTGCTCCTAAGCAGCTAATCCACATGAGATAGGAAGGTCTACACATTAAATAATATCAGGTTTGACAGTGCAGCTTTTGTTAGAATAGTAAGATTCACATTAATCATGTGTGTTATGTGAATCATCAGCAGAAGTACAATCTTCTACACATGAAGTTCCATTGCTATCTAATTGACAATTAGTAAGCCAATTATTGCAATCTGAGATAGTTGATGGAACAGTAGGTATATTCTAACATGTTTTTTCTATGCATGTTGTACTATTCCAAAAGCAAGGAATTTCTTCTGAATTGTTATTATTTGAACATAAGATACTCGTAGAATATTCACTACAAGCACCAATAGTTTTGCAGTTCGAACCATCCCAAAAACACTTTGTACTATAAATATCACAATCAGACATAAGTGTTAAAAGCGAGCAATTTAAGAGTTGGCATTAGGAGGTAGCTTATAACATACAACCAGAGTCCCAATCATAACACTATTAGTTTGTAGAAGGATTAGTAGTTGCTGCTTCGCATTTATTATTACAAAGATTAGCACTCCAATAACAGCTTTCACCATTTAATGTGCTAACACAAGCCTCCTAGTAGGAGTATTCTGAGCATAATGATTGTTTAATTACGCATATTACATTTGTATAAAATTCAATTGTTTATTGGCTATTTTCATCGTTGCAATCTTGATGCGATTTAGGTGACGTCATACTACTTAAATTGCAATATTTATTATTGGAGCATTTGGTAGAGAAATCTTAACACCAATAGCACTTCACGACTGCCTTGTTATTTTAGCCGTAACTACTCTCACACTTAGATTATATTGTATATTGTGAGCAAGAACGATATTAACATTTGCTATATTCCCAATAACAATGTTATCCATCAACAAGAGTTGCTGAGTTACATATATCATATTATTTGATATGATTACAATTAAAAAAACCACATCCTTGGCCTTTGGTATAATTAAATCTGCAATATTCTGCATTTACTAAAAGGCATTCACGATTTGTAACAGCAGTTATGTTAGTTTCACAATTAAGATAATATACACATTTACCATCCTACCAATTGCATCGAAATTAATAACATTGAGAAATTATTTTACTCTAAGAGCAATCATAATAGAAAGTTTTACAACCAGAAGAATCAAGAACACAATCAGATTTCCAATCAAAACAAATTTAATCTGTAATAATAGGATAATTTGCAAAAGTTAAATGTTCGCATGTTCTAGACTCACAAGAATTTGTCCAAAAATTATATCCACATCTTTTAGTTGAACTTGAAGTTACAGTTGAAGAATTGCAAGCTTAAAATTCTCCTAGTTGTTGGCTGCAACTATATATGCTTTTACAACACTAACAACTAGTATCATATATGTAATTTGATGAATAGTCTTAACATTGTTTGTTCCTATCAGAAAATGTTGCAGATGACTGAAATTGCAAGTACTATGTGGCAGTTTATAGCAAACACTTTCTGTTACAATAATATTAATCACATTCTTTCTAATAGTAACATAATTATCCTAAGGGTGTTTTTCTACCATCACAATTACTGATTAAGAGATTTTTATCACTGCAATAATTATCAGAACGACACCTACCATAATAGTTGCACTTTAAATCGAATTTCATTATAGCACTTTTACAAACATTACTAGATAAATCTGAACAACTGTAAATAGAGTAGCATCCTTTTCCTTTTGTTTATAGAACACAGTATAGGTTGTATAATTAACAAACCTCATTGCTTTTGCTATCTGTAATAGCTTCACATTAATAAGATTGTACAACCTAACATCTAGAGTTAAAAAAATAGCATCTTTCATTTTATTATGTTAGAGTTAATTTACATATTAAAGGATGCGTAACCTCATCACAATGAACTGGTCTAGCCTCACACCCTGGTCCATAAGTCCCGTTAGGTTAAATCTTTAATTGACATTAACTAAGTTTTCTAAATTTTAAACATTCCGCCTCAGTTTAAGCAGTTGTATTTTCGCTACAATTTACATCCTTACAAACTCTATTTTTTACATCCCATTTGCAGGGTTACTAATCACTTGTGATTACACATTATTATTCCAATTTATAATCACACTAAGATGAAAGAGCTACACAATATCCACTAATTTACTTTATTGTACATTTTTATAGAAAGTTCTCGCAATTTTAGTGTAATAAGTCACCATAAATTCTTTTACTACAATCAGCAGCATCATTTTCTTCATAACATTTTTGCTCATAATCATCCCAATAACAATTTTAGCCAGCCAAACTAGTTTTACAATTCCTTTGCCTGATGTATTCAGAGCAATTTGCCTTTTTTTATTCGCAACCTTATAAACTTAAAGAGGAAATCACGGTGCAATTAGGATTCCATGCTTAACATTCAACGTGCGAATCGTATATTTCATCATTTGGAGATAATGCGCAATCAACCAAACTAGGTCTATTCATGCATCCTCCTAAAATTCGATTAAAGATACAATAATCAAGCCAAGTATTGCATTGAATATTATTCTTATAATTATCTACAGAAGCATCTGAACACTCTAATGTCTTACATAAACTACCTGTCCAAAAACACCTTGTTCCATCCTAAAGATTTAACTAGCATTATTATTAAATAATCAAATTATGGCACGTCGTTGGCCATAATTAGCATCCAGAACCAGAGGATCTTAATATACAAGTACCCTGCAACACTTTATAAGAGTTACAATCCTCATTTGTTTAGTATATGTTGGGATTTGCATCGGTGCAAATTTGATCAATGCACATTTTACCTACTTTATCCCATTTACAATTAGTTCCTGAAAATGTAGAATAGCATTGTTCTTCAATGGCAAATTGACATTCACTCTTTTTATCAACACATCCAAATAATAATTTTTAATTTTATAATTCTTATACATTAACCGTGCAATATGGCAACCACATCTCACATTAAGAGTTACTCTCAAAATGTGATGGAGCAGTAATGCACTTTTTATCTACACATCCTTAATTGGTTGTATAGCCTGGTTCTTATGAATTAAATGAGCAAAACTCAATTTCTTAAATAAGTTTGCATATATAATCTTTGCAACCCAAAATTTCTAGATTAATTGCACAATTGGAACTTACCTCTTAACAAATTTTAGGATTTTTGTAATTTGGCAATTTTAGTTTTTTACATTCAAACAACGTCCATATACCTTCTAAAGAAATACATTTTTGATTATTATAATTAAACTCACAAAATTATTCTTTTAAATTCTCATTACAAAGATCTGGCATCTATAAACAGCCACCACCTTCTTTGCCCATGCAATTTCCATATTGCTTACAATCTGCAGGAGTATAATAAAGTGGGGCATGATAACATGCTCGTTGTTCACATTTATTTTTATACCAAATACAATCTTATTTTTCAATCGAATAACAATCTACTGCATCCACATAACCTTTGCATGTTTAAGGTCTTTATTTGCATCCTCCATTTGCATTAGTAACACAATCTAATTAATTGTCATAATCTTAGCATTATAGATAACTTTTAAGCGAAGACAAAGCTGTGTCACATCCTTTGATTTTACATTTATTGTTAAAATATTCGCATTTATTTCCCTAAGCATCTGTAACACAACTAATTTTATTCTTGGCATCACTACATTACTTTCTTTAAATACAATGAATGCCATTTGATGTACATTCACTTAAAATTTATTTACATTCGTAATCTTAAGAAAAAGGTAGATTTTAACACACTTTTTCAACACATCTACTGTTTTTTGAATCCCAAAAGCAGATTTATTTTTTCTAATAAATATCAAAGCATTAAAAATCTTTGAAGTATTAGGCACACTCATCCTTTTGTCGAATACATCCATAACCTTATTCGTTTACAGTACAACCAGCTAGGCCTTATTTACACTAAATATGACTTCCTAAATAAATTGGCAGTTCTTCACACGTAGCAACATCTCTGCACATTTTTACTAAATCCTAAACCCAAAAGCAGTACCCACCATTTTAATTTTAATATGCACATCCTACTTCTGTTTTATAATCCTTACATTCAAAAATTTCAACACACTTTGTGCCATCAGATGCGCATCTATAAGAGGATTGTTAACATTAATCTTTTTTGAATACTATTCAGTCAACAAAATTTCTACATTAACCCAAATAAAAGCCACATTACTTCTGTAATCTACAATCTTCCTCTGCATAAACTTTGCATGAGCTTTCCCCTTAATTCTTTTAAATGTATGTTTTAGCTGAATTTAAAACGCAAACCCCATTCTACCAAATACAAATACCTGAGTTTTAACATTAGGTTTAACGACGAACATGCCCACAAACACATTATTCTGAGATCTCTTGAGTGCCTATTAATAGAAAGAAGTAAAACAATAAGTTATAGAAATTTTTAAATATCATTTTTCAATCCATATAATATTTTTTGCTATTATACTTTAAATTCAATAATTTCATTAAGTAAGCTGTCTCTTAAAATTTATAAAATATAAGAGCAACAATTATTGTGCTCAAAAATTTTCAACACTCAATTTCTTTTGAGTAAATGTGGAAAAATCCGAAGACTTCCCTTATCATATAAATTAAAAAATACATTAAACTAGAAATGCAGTAAAATCATCTTGAGCATTTCAATCGAAAATTTATTTTAATTTTGTCCATTAGTAAGCATCCCTAACTTGAAAAGAGTATACAAATAAATATTCATCGTAATACAATTACTTTCACGATCAATTTTATTTTTTTTGGGTGTTTGATTAAAGAAGCATTATTCATTAATAATAATTTTGATGGGGGTGATTTTTCATTCTGCAAATAAATATGAATTTAATAGAAAATTTGGATTGAAAAGTACCTTTTTATTTTGCTATTGAAAATAAGTTATTATTATGAAAAATCTCAATACGATATTCAATATTTACTTAGAATTTTATTAGTCATAAGTTTCTCAATAATGAAATGCTTGAAATGGAAAAAAATTAAACTTTTTTTTCCACACATATTTTTTTTTTATTGATTAGAATAATTTTTTTTGATAGAATTACAAATTTATATAGATAATAACATAGGGGTAACCAATAAAATCAGTATTTTATATTAAAATGAACAATAATACTGATTTCATAGAGTATCCATTTTCAAAATAATATAGTAAGACTTATGAAACAATTACTATTGATAGAAAAATATACAAAATATTTAAACCACCAATAGGTTGTGGATAAGAAGGTATTGTCTATTAGGGGTAAGATGTATAAACCAACGAAATTGTGGCTATTAAAGAATATAAATAAATAGAACAAAATGAGTTAAAAGCCCTTCAAGCAATTTAGAGAAATAACTAAACTCATATTATTAAAATAATAGGAGTGGATAAATAATAAAATGGTTAACCAATTGTTGTTATGGATTTTGTTCATGGAGAGTTCTATTAATTTATGTTAACCTAAAAATATCAAAATCTGAGTTATGAAGAAAAAAATGGCTTTTTTTTTTAAGTAATTAAATAAGATAATATTTAGATGATGAAGGGTGTTGAACAACTTCATTAATTAGGATTCTTTCATAGAGATGTGAAACCTGAAAATTTTGTATACATTAATGGTCCAACTAATGAAATGACTATTAAACTTATAGATTTTGGATTAGTTAAAGAAAATAAAGAAAACAGTGCTTATACTAATATAAACGGAACACCATTCTACATGGCTCCAGAAGTGTCTGAAGAAGGAAATAGACTTTTTAATAAACCAAATGCGCGTAGACAAAATACTTCTTATGATAAATCAATTGATATATGCTCTTTGGGAGCTATTTGGTATGAGCTGTTAACTTAAGATACATTCTTTTAAGGTAATTAAATTTAAAATCTTAGGTAATTCTCAAGAGGAAATTTTTGATAAAATTCAAACCATTAAATAAGAAGATATCAACAGATAAATCGAAAACAATAACAATATTAAAGCTAAAGAAAAGCATTTTATGAAATAAATGCTTTAGATAATTCCATCATAAAGATTATAATTAAAAGAAATATTGGAATTTTATGGAACTTAATAGAAAATGGAATATTAGTAGGAATAGATTTATGATGGGATGAAACAATATAAAGATGAGGAGTTGAAATAAAAATTGAAAAGAAAAGAAATTTAAGAATTAAAAGATTTAAAATAATTTTTACTTTACTAATTAGAAAATATCTAAAGTACTAATAAGATTATTGTTAAAAATCTTACTGATAAATTAAACATAATAAATGAAATAAATTCATAAGATAGAAAAAAATAAGAATTGTTAAATTACATCAATGATGAGTTATAGAAACATAAAGAGATTATCCTAAAAACTGAATAAAGATTAAATTTAATATAATATGAATAGACAATAGAGAAATTTAAGGAATATAATGAACTAATTCAAGAAAATGAATAATATTAAAATTATCAAATGATTATATTTTAAAAAATAGTATAAGAATAAGATTTACTGGAAAAGTAAGTAAAAGATTAAGAATAGCTTGATGATTAAAGTAAATAATAAGAATTGTTAACGGAATTAGAGTAGAAATTGCAAAAAGAAAAATAATAATATTAATCTTAATTAAAAGTAGTAAATTAATAATTAAATTAATAATCTTCTTAGATTTAATAAATTTAAGAAGGAATTATCTTTTATCAAACAATTTAAATTTAGATAGAAGAGAAGATTCAAGATGTGATTAAATCTCATTAACAAATACCATAAGATATCTAAACTGTAAAATTTTAAGAGAAAACAATTTAGTAATATGAATCATTACAATAATAAATTGCAATTTATTAATCATGTAATAGCAAGTTTGAAGAAATTTAATAAGCTTAAAATAGACTAAAAGCTTAGATTGAAGAGGCAAATAAATGTATTTTAAAAATGGATAAAGAATATTTACATAAACATCAGTAATAAATTGAGGAATCAAACAAAAAATTGATTGATTATTAGTAAAAATATCAGTATTTCTCCACAAATTAAAAATATGCAAATTAAATTACTTAAATAATCAATCAGATAGGACAAACTTTTGATTACTTAGATAATCTAAAATAATTGATATCTTAAAGAACATTGCCATCTTATTAACAATACACTCAGATACATTCATAGATTCAACAATCATTAAAGAGCTTTGAAAAATATCATACTTAATTGCATTAGCAAATTTACGATGATTAACAAATTGAGTTAAAAAATCAAGAAAGAATTAAAACAATAAAGATTACAGAATATTAATTGGATTAATTCAATTAAAAAATGAATCAATTTAAAGACTAATTGAAAAACCTTATAAAAAATGAATATTGTAATAATGAAAAATCGTAGAATTTAATAAATACAAGATTATCAAAGATTGATTAAAATACAATGTAATAATAAGAACTATTTGTTAAATTATCTTAATTGAATTAATTAGAATCCTGTGATGTTGTTAATAGATAAATAAAATAATTGGAAGAATTTTAGGGAAATTTAAAGGAAGTAGAAGTAAATGAAATTGAATATATTAACCAATTAGAGTTAATAATTAAAAATGTAGGAGAAGAAAACAAAAGTCAATAAGAAAAAGATATTCTTACTTTAAATAATTAATTATAAACTAGGTATAGTAAATATCAAAAAGCTCTGTAATCTATTTAATTTTAATTTTAAAGTGTTGAATTTTATTAATAAATGAATCAAAACAAAGAAAATCTCTAAAAAGAATTGAAATATGAAATAAAAATATTGGAAGAGAATCCATAGATTTGTGATCAAAATATGCAATTATTTGAAGAAAAAAAAATAAGTCGTGGGATTAAAAATGTATCTCAAAAATAATAAGAAGTAAATTTTAGAAAAAATGGATGATAATCTAATTAAGAATTATGAAT